AGAATAATCACTGTGAAAAATCACATCATGTTGCTGCTGATCTGTTTCATGTTGTTGTTGCTTATCTGTTTCAATGTTGCTGCTGATCTGTTTCGTGTTGCTGCTGATCGGTTTCATGTTGCTGCTGATCTGTTTCATGTTGTTGCTGTTGATCTGTTTCAATGTTGCTGCTGATCTATTTCATGCTGCTGATGATCTGTTTCGTGTTGCTGCTGATCTGTTTCATGCTTCTGCTGATCTGTTTCTTGTTGTTGCTGTTGATCTGTTTCAATGTTGCTGCTGATCTGTTTTGTGTTGCTGCTGATCTGTTTCATGCTGCTGCTGATCTGTTTCAATGTTGCTGCTGATCTGTTTCATGTTGCTGCTGATCTGTTTCATGTTGCTGCTGATCTGTTTCATGTTGATGTGTTCATTCATGCTCATCAGCTCACACAGACTCATGTTCGTGCTGCTGTTACGCGTAGTTTTTATTATTTTTATGCTGTTAGTGTTTAGTGTATATTTAGTTGATGTTTTTCTTAGTTCATATCTTTGATCTTGTTGTTTTTTTTACATTTTATTGTTGGATGTAACTGGGACCCTGTGGACTTAATCTCATTCCACCACATGAGGTGCGAACGACCATCAAGAAATTCTGACTCTGATATATCCATGTCTATATCTGTCCACATGTCCATGTCTGTCCAGGTCTGTCCAGGTCTGTCCACATGTCCATGTCTGTCCAGGTCTGTCCACATGTCCATGTCTGTCCAGGTCTGTCCACATGTCCATGTCTGTCCAGGTCTGTCCACATGTCCATGTCTGTCCAGGTCTGTCCAGGTCTGTCCACATGTCCATGTCTGTCCATGTCTGTCCAGGTCTGTCCAGGTCTGTCCACATGTGTCCCACTCTGCTCCTGGATCACTGACGGTGAAGCTGTTCTGACGTCACTCAGCAGATTAGATCAGATTACAGTTGAAGATTATTCATTCATTCGTTTGTTTGTTTGTTTGTTTGTTTGTTTGTTTGTTTGTTTCCTGGAGGAAAACGAGTTTAAATCCTGACACATTTGATCAATAATCGAACCTTTGGACCAGCCAGAACCTGGTTCGGGTCTGGAGGTTTTTATTCAGCTGCTGGGACCCGGACTCTCCAGGTCCGTCTCTGACTAAGGTTCTGCAGGTTCTGAAGGTTCTGGAGGTTCTGAGGGTTCTGTAATGGTAAGTGGAGCCTCTGGCTAAGTTCTGGAAGGTTCGGACGGGTTTCCTCCGTCTCAGACAGAACCGAACCTCCTCAGCTCAAAGGAATGCAGAAAATGTGTCAAAGTTTCCGAGTTCGTGTCTGAGCGGTTCTGCCAGGTTCTGGTTCTGGTTCGGCCCGCCTCCTCGTTAAGAAGCGGATCGTGTGGAGACTCTTCCCACTTCAGCCAGCCTTCCAGAAGTCCCGGAGTTCTGGACCGGACCACTTCAGCCTCCCTCACAGCAGAACATCAGAGTTGGGTTTCCGAACCGAACCGGTTCCGACAGCTTCTCCAGAGTCCAGAGGTCAGTGTGACTTTGTTTGTTGGGATTATTCAGGGAGAGCCGAACTGATGGACCCGTCCGGACCCGAACTGTGGAGGCTTTTGTTTGCTCAGCTGAAGATCTGTAACCAGAACCGAACCGGGTCCGGTTCTGGTTCTTTTCATGTTGAAAGATCAAAAGAATAAAACTCCAATTCGTTCCTGAAGAACCTCCAGGTGACCTTTGACCTTTGACCTCACAGCTTCATGAAGATCTGCTGAGGAAGAGGAGCTGAAGATGAAGAGCAGGCTGTCTGTGGGAGCTGCAGCGCTCCTGGTGCTGCTGATCACCTCCTCTCAGGCGCAGGAGCAAGGTAAAGCCACTGCTGCTCATACTTCTCTCCTCCTCTCTTCTGCCTCCTCACCATCTCCTCCTCTCCACCTCCTCCTCTCCATCTCCACCTCCTCCTCTCCACCTCCTCCTCTCCA